GAGAGAGAGAGAGAGAGAGAGAGAGAGAGAGAGAGAGAGAGAGAGAGAGAGAGAGAGAGAGAGAGAGAGAGAGAGAGAGAGAGAGAGAGATTCCTGTGGAATAAGGCTGACAGTGTACTGGAGATTGAGTCCTCGTCTGTGGCATCCTTTCAGTTGGGAATGGATGTTCTGTCTTCCATTCTTTCCTGTCCTCATTCCATATGTGAGCGATTTTCCAAATGCCGCTTTTGACCGAGGAGAGTCATCTGTGTTCTAAGAAAAGGGGGTTGTCACCCTCATTTGTCACCCATTGGTTCCCGAAGAGCGGTTGCCTTAGTACTTCATCCTTAGATCTAGGTCTATTGGACTTGTTAGGGATTATTTTTCTCCAGATTCGAAGCAGCGCCGTTCAGTATGGAGTAGTAGGCTTATAACCCTCTAGTCTGGCGTCCCTTGTTCGATTCGTTCTGCCCGTGGCTATGATCCAGTCTTGATTCATTACCCAGAATAGTCCTGACATATCCTCTGGTGAGGGCACCGGGGCTAGTGATCTGATGCTGTCCAGGGCTAATTTATGCCATGCGCTGTCTGGATTCATCAAAAGTTTGATGATCCACTTAATCTGCAGGGCTTTTGTTTCTGTTCCGGGGTCTATAATCCCTAGACCTCCCTTTAGCGGGCTCCTCGTGACATAGTGCCATGCGACTTTAGATATACCGTTCTCTTTGTTGGGGTCTCCTGATCATAGATAGATCGTGGCTTTTCGGTTCAATTCTTTGATAGAGTTATCCGGGACTGTCCAGATGGAGACTATGTACCACATCATTGAGAAGACCGAAGTGTTAAAGACCAGGGTTCTTCCGATGAGGGACGTGAAGACTTTGCCCCACCTTCCTAATTTGTTGATTTGTTTGGTCACCATGTTCTGACCCATTTGGGGCGCTAGACCTTCTCTTGTCATGAGTATACCAAGCTACCGGGTGGGGGTGTCTGGCGTCTCCCAAGCCATGGCTGCTTCCTCTCCTTGTAATAGCAGGGGATCCTCATCTGATAGCCACCATCCTATTATCTTCTCCTAATTGATCTTCATTTCCGAGGCCAGACTGAAAGCTTCCATTGCTTAGCCAAAGTCATGAACGACGAGTCGGTAGCTCTAATAAAAACAGTTAGGTCGTCCGCAAACACGATAGCTGTGGGGAAATCTATTTGGTGAGTTGAGCTTATGTTGGTGCTATGAGAGTCTGTGGATTGATGGGTCCTTGCGTCGGAATGATGCAATAGCTTCCATTACAAACAAGAAGATTGATGGGGCCAATGGAGCCCCTTGTCGGACTGAGCGGAAAATCGGGTAGCAGTCCGACAGAAGGCCGTTGACTTGGACACAGCCCGTTGCATCTTTGTACAGTATTGTGACAAACTAATTTCTGTAGTGCACGACTTTCTGCGCGAAGTGCCAAAGGGGGGTCCCACATTAATTGGACGGGTCGATGGAAAATTGTATGTGTGTCCTTGTTTTCTTCGTCGTCTCTTCATTTTCGCATGAGTCCCTGATGACGGTTGGGGAGGCGGATTCGGGAATGCATGGGAAAAAGGGGTGAAACTTGGTCGGATGGATG